GTCCTTGAATGAAGTTGAAGATAAACACAAGGAATCAGTCAGAAAATTCACTGCTTAGGTTACCAATAACCGTCCATTTCAGTTTATCAAAAAGGCTGCTCAGGCAAAAAAAATACTAGAAAATTATCCCTCCACGCATCAATAATCAAACCCCAGTTGTGTATTCTATATAGTAAATTAACATTAGTCATACATAATAAGTACAAACTTAGTAGTTAGCTTTACCCTTTCATTCTGCATCATCATCTGCCAAGAAAGAGTCACATATGGGAGCCTGTTTTTCTTCCAAACCATCCTCCACAACCAACAATGTCCGTTTGGTTCATCTCAGTGGATATGTGGAGGATTTTGAGAAGCCAATTTCTGTGAGCCAACTCACTGGCACCTCTCAGAAGCACTTTGTTTGTACCTCACTTCAGCTTCTTTCACCTTGCTCAAAACCATTGAATGGAGACACAGAACTTCAACCTGGGAATGTCTACTTCATGCTACCATACTCAATCCTTCAAGCTGATGTTTCTCCTGTGGATTTGGCTTCCCTTGCAAAGAGGCTCACTGCAATAGCAAAAACCAGCAAAGGGTCTTCCCTCAAAGATGGTCCTTTCTCAAGCCAACAAGGGTTGAACGATGTTTGGAATTCGCCTTCAAGGAGTCCTGGTAGGCTTGGTGTGGTTGAACGAAGTCCGTGTAGAGTGCAGCCTTGGAAACCTATCTTGGACACCATCAGAGAGAAGTCTTTCAATCGGAGAAGTGAATCAGATTTGCAAGAACATATTTGATGTTTGAAAGACCTTGAATTGAGGTAAAACTAGGAAGGAAGAAGACACATGTTAGTTGGTTTGATTATCTTTTGACAAGGAAAAAAATTGAAATTTGAGACGGTTACGCTTGAATTTTTCTTGTGTATAATTCTTCTTTGTATTTATGATCCAAATTATTAAGAACTTGATATTTCAGTTTGCAGAATTCGTACACAATCTTTGATTACTGAAAATGTGTCTTGCAATTAAAATTAATGGAGCAATCAGATGAAGAGAAATCTCTGGTAGGGGATTGCAAATTAGGATATAATACAACACAACACAACACACAATTTATAACTTATTTAGCAACTGATACTATAATTTGGTTGTCTGATTGAAGGGAAAGAAAAAGGATCAAACTTAATTTTTGTTGAGTCAGGTAGCAAAACTTGTATCATAGACATAATTTCTTCCTTCTGAACACCAATCCAATAAGGGATGTGTGTAATATCAGATAGACTTTTCTTTGTTCTTGTTTTCAGGAAGGTTGGCCAAGCTAATTGTGACTTTGGCAAAAACTCTCACATGGCTACTTTTATAAAATAGTACTAATAATGTAGTAGGGGGACTGGTGGCTAATATAAACAAAACGGCAAATTACAAGGTTACAAGGAGATGATGGGACCCACTATTGAATAGGTAAAACAGTCCAGACCACTTCTTTGCATTGAGACAGAATCAAATGTTAAGGAACATCAGTTTCTCACTTCCTCAATTGCTCCCTTTGTCTTTCCTCCACAGCTTTCTTTGTTTCTCTTGCTTTTTCCCAGTCTTTGCTAAGGATGGCTTGGCTCAATTCACTCCATATAAGAGCTGATTCAGTTGGCCACACACTGTGATTAAAAATATACACAACAAAATCTAGGTTGAACTCAAGAACACATGTCAACTCATGCATATTGTGCTTTGTTATTGAGCTGACATATGCATGAAAATAAAACATCATGATTTCCCTTTGCATTTTTGAACTCTTTATATTTTAATTGGAACTAGAGCAACCAAAATCAGTGAGAAGGGAAGAAAAAGTTGCTTTGATTGGTTTAAAGTAAAATTTATTTTACAGTAACATGCTTGGATTTCTGTAAGAACTTAAAGAGTGCACATGAAAATACCCTCTTTATAATGTGAATAATAAACACTACTGTGTAGAATGAGAATAATAATTTGCACACGAAAATACACTCATATATAACGTCTGCATCCTTCAAGTAGGAGCCTGAAGCCCTGAAACTACCTCTTTTTGCATCATACATAACTTCATGTAGAATCTTCAATGAAGATGAATCGATGATCTTCCCATTTACCAATCTTTTACTTCCCAAATCCAAGGAAAGGGAAGTTTGACTCATGCAGAATGATTCAACCAAGTCGAGGACTAAGGAGTAAGAATCACATAAAACCTTTTTGTTTCCTCCATATACAAACACTACTGTTAAAGGAGCAGGAATATAAACTCTCCTTAAACTTAACAAAATAAGAACATTTTAGACCAAAAGTTATATTTATGAAATACTTCTTAATATATCTACTCTTAACTTTATTTTGTACCACAACATTTGTCATGCCAAAGAATAATAATATCATTGAACTTTGGAACGGGATATGGAACCAAGTAATTTGTATGTTTTCTTCTAATCAGTTGCTTCATGGCAGACAAAGGAGGGTAGTGTGAAACCTGCAAACAAGTAAATACAGAACAGTACTTACTGAAAAATGTCTGTCCATGATGTGTCATAACACAAGACATGAGAGGCTTAAGCATAAAGATTATGAGAATGCAATGATTGATCAAATCTGATAATTTTATGACAACATTGAGCTTGTACAAGAATGCAAAAGCATGTGCTGCTTTAGTAAGACATTATGATTTCCTTCGGAAACATGATGAATAGAGGGGATAGCTGCATTTAGATTTATTTTTTACATATGATAAATGTGTATAAAATATTTTTGAATTAATTTTAATAATTTTTAATGTATCTATTTATAATTCACATTTTTCCTTGAAATGGTCACACCACCTAATAATGGACCAAAAGTTATAAACCACCTTCTTTCTGAGAAAGCAAGAACTGTTGTCTTGGATGAACCTAAAAGAAGTGTTGAAAAAGGTCTAGTTATTGTCAAAAGTAACAAGATTTCATCTAGGAGTATCTATTGTTTCGGATGGATTGAAAAACTTCATGCACTTGTTATTGCTTAAAAAAACAATTATTATGATTAATAATTTAGTACTGTATTCTTAATATTTTAAATTTAAAAATAAAAATATAATTAAAATATTAATATTTTGAAGTAATAAATGTTTTTTTATTGGTAGGTGTCAAAATATAACTTCCCATTACTGAAAACATAAAAATGTGGGACATTCGAATGGTTATGAAAATAAAAAATGTTCAGTGTAAGTAGTACAATTGTTAATCTAATAAAAACACTTTAAACAAAATTTTTAAAATAATTATCATAAATACCAATATTTTATATTATATATGTACCATCATAAAAATTTACACTATACAAAGCGAGTTTCTGTTTTTAATGCGTGAACGATTAGATTTTTTGATTTGTCATAAATATTTCTTGAAAGATTTATATCAGTTTCTTGAGAATTTAAAAGTAATGTGATTTTTTTTACCAAAATAATTGATTCTTATCTAATAATAAAAACATCATATTACTTTTATCTATTAATATTTTAAAAATTGAAAAAATTTAGATTCTTATCTCTTCCATTCGAACAATTATCTGAAAAACTTCATTTAAAAACATTTATTGGTTTTCTAATAATGTTACCTTTAAAACATAAACCAAACATAGATAATCAACATTTTCAATCTTAAATTCCTAAAAGCTCTTATCTTTTTTTTTATCAAACTTTTCCTTACTAGATAACTTATATATATATTTAAATTTCAACAATTAAATTCTTCAATGAACATTCTCTTCTAAAATGTATTTCATTGCTTTTGAGTACTGAACAGTAACAATTATTGTGCTGTGATGGGGGCAGCAGGTACAGTGTTTTGAATAGGTGAACATTCCCACCCTTCTTTGTTGTTAGATACTACAAAATGCTTAGAAACCCATGTTTCTCCTTTTGACTCTCTTTCTTTCAAGAGCTTCCTTTGTCTTTCCTCAATTTCTAGCTTTGCTTCTCTTGCTTTCTCCCAGTCCTTCCTCAATATGGCTTCACTCAGTTCTCCCCAAACATGAGCTNTGCATTTAGATTTATTTTTTACATATGATAAATGTGTATAAAATATTTTTGAATTAATTTTAATAATTTTTAATGTATCTATTTATAATTCACATTTTTCCTTGAAATGGTCACACCACCTAATAATGGACCAAAAGTTATAAACCACCTTCTTTCTGAGAAAGCAAGAACTGTTGTCTTGGATGAACCTAAAAGAAGTGTTGAAAAAGGTCTAGTTATTGTCAAAAGTAACAAGATTTCATCTAGGAGTATCTATTGTTTCGGATGGATTGAAAAACTTCATGCACTTGTTATTGCTTAAAAAAACAATTATTATGATTAATAATTTAGTACTGTATTCTTAATATTTTAAATTTAAAAATAAAAATATAATTAAAATATTAATATTTTGAAGTAATAAATGTTTTTTTATTGGTAGGTGTCAAAATATAACTTCCCATTACTGAAAACATAAAAATGTGGGACATTCGAATGGTTATGAAAATAAAAAATGTTCAGTGTAAGTAGTACAATTGTTAATCTAATAAAAACACTTTAAACAAAATTTTTAAAATAATTATCATAAATACCAATATTTTATATTATATATGTACCATCATAAAAATTTACACTATACAAAGCGAGTTTCTGTTTTTAATGCGTGAACGATTAGATTTTTTGATTTGTCATAAATATTTCTTGAAAGATTTATATCAGTTTCTTGAGAATTTAAAAGTAATGTGATTTTTTTTACCAAAATAATTGATTCTTATCTAATAATAAAAACATCATATTACTTTTATCTATTAATATTTTAAAAATTGAAAAAATTTAGATTCTTATCTCTTCCATTCGAACAATTATCTGAAAAACTTCATTTAAAAACATTTATTGGTTTTCTAATAATGTTACCTTTAAAACATAAACCAAACATAGATAATCAACATTTTCAATCTTAAATTCCTAAAAGCTCTTATCTTTTTTTTTATCAAACTTTTCCTTACTAGATAACTTATATATATATTTAAATTTCAACAATTAAATTCTTCAATGAACATTCTCTTCTAAAATGTATTTCATTGCTTTTGAGTACTGAACAGTAACAATTATTGTGCTGTGATGGGGGCAGCAGGTACAGTGTTTTGAATAGGTGAACATTCCCACCCTTCTTTGTTGTTAGATACTACAAAATGCTTAGAAACCCATGTTTCTCCTTTTGACTCTCTTTCTTTCAAGAGCTTCCTTTGTCTTTCCTCAATTTCTAGCTTTGCTTCTCTTGCTTTCTCCCAGTCCTTCCTCAATATGGCTTCACTCAGTTCTCCCCAAACATGAGCTGACTCAGTTGGCCACACACTCTGATGAACATAAATTCTCATGTCAAAATCAGGAAAACATGACACAACACACTCACTATTTGAACATAAAGTTTGATTGTTTGATGTGCATACACATTGAGTATAGAATGAAGTGGAGAGTAGAATTTTTAGTACCTCCGAATCCTTGAGTTTTGGAGTTTCTAGACCTGAGAGAAATTCCTTTGCATCATATATTACTCTTACTTCCTTATTATTTGTATCCTTCAATTTTACAACCCTGCATAACAAAAGGGATAAGAACATGCACCTTGGTTGAAAAGTACCATTCTTGAAAATAACACAGCCATGTAACTAGTGAATAAGTTACTAGATACTATGCACATTATATACTTATACTAGATACGATTTGAAAAACAAGTGAAAGTTGTGAGATGTGTTTAGGAGGAATATAATACCTATCCCAATGACCATCAACTTCATACAAAACTTTTAATGATGAAGAGTCAAGGATCTTTCCTTTGATCACTCTATGATTCCCTCCAATTCCTAGAAAGGAACTACTTGATCTGTAGGATAACTCAGCCACTATGCCTGTCTCTTGGCACCGGATGGTAACTGTGCCAGACCAATCAGCCGAAGTAACTGGAAAAATTCTAAGTAAAAGGTGAGGGCAATTCATTTCATATGTTTCACCATGATTGAGTAGCTTCAGCTGCCGAATACCATGCACCTTAGCTTCAACTGATGTGCCTGTATGTTTAATTTGCAGACAGACATAAAAATTTGTAAGTCTTTGCTGTCAGAGGCTACATTTAGAACATGAAAGTTGAAACTGACTTGCTCAGGTCTGTCTGAATAATCTTTCCTCACACAAATTAAAATCAAATCATGTTCTTCATCTTATTGATGAGATGTCAAAGGAGGAAGCTTTTTTTAAAATGTTGAAATTTTAATTTTGAGAAACTTTGATTTTTTTTTTCTTCATTTTCTGAAAGTACTTGTTGAAATGTTTAAGCTATTTGAACCTTATTATAATTATTCTTTGTGAAGAATTTAAGCAATCCAAGAATTCAAATTGTGATGCACATTTCTGGTTTCAAAATCAGAAAGATCTTTAAAGAGTTAGATAAACACTGGCACTGAGTTCCTAATAATTTTGTCAGCATGGAAGTTTCCTTGGTACTGGAAACTATCAAATCAACAACTTAATATAAAGGATTGCTAATAAGTGTGTCTAGAACCACTGATTCTTAGATTTCCCCTGTTGACATCTGATTGATAATATGAAGAATATGTCCTCAGTAATGATTCTTTGTTGACATCTGGTCACAGTTTTATTTAATAAATTAATCAGAATCACAAATCTTTGCAACACGAATCACACACAGATGAAACTTTTTGAGCAAACATTTGAAAGTTTATTTTTGAAATGGATAACAGTCTAGAAAAGTGTCAATATAGTGAAATACCATTAAACTTTGGATCAGGTCGCTGGCACCATATCATTTCAATGTTTTCCTTCTCATCAGTTGCATGGAGAGCAGCTACTGGAGGGTGATGTGAAATCTGCACACAAGAAGAAGTAAACCCAGAATTTAATTAAGTAGGAAGATATCAAGAAAGGGAACCAAGCCAAAAATCATGTTTCAAGTTCCTATTAACTAGTCAAAAAGTCACCAATATAGAGTTCAGGAGAAACAGAATTTGTACAATATCTTGTATAACAAATGATGGTTGATATGATCAACAGAGGAAAAAACGGATGCAGAATTTGTTTATGAATAACATTACTTCATAAAAATTCAGAATGAAGCCAGTCTTAGCATTGTGACCAAACGTAAGTAAGCATTTAGACATAAAATACTAGGAAGAAATATGCAAATGTGGAAATGAGAAGCATGTACCTGCTCCAATAACACATTAAGATTTCCCTTTGAAACATGGTGTGTCTCACCAAGAATTGGATTATAAGGCGCAACCCCAAAAGTCACAGGGCGAGTGGTAGATATGGTCCATGCTACAACAGATATGAACCTGTCAATTGGACTCTCTCCATTGTTGCACATGCTTAGCAAGTCTGAACCTGTGCAATACACTGATTCACCATAGCACTGAAGTTGTGACTTCGGTAAGTTGAATAGTGGAGGCAGCTACAATCATGGTAAAAGATTTTCATCATTCTCTGTAACATGGTGACTCAAATGACACCAGTTAATAGACCAATCAAATGTAATTCTTCCTAAAATTTCTTTCAGAAACGAGTTAACTTTCACAAAACCTAAGCTACACTTGGCGTAGTGTATACAATATTTGCATTTCATGTATTTCAAAGAGTAAAATATATTTTTACTTAACAAATTTTTATTAATAAATAATATGTCAAACATCTCAAGATTACTCGATATACATCACCTTCCAATGGTTGCTGCTCTGACATGAATTCAAGAATGTCAATTCAACTAACAAAAATTAAGTTAGAATTGGTGAAAATTGAAGTACAATAACTGAATGTAAGTCAAATAATGTACTATTTATCACACTTTTTCTTTCTATCTACTTTAATAGAACAGGAAGTTAACACTGTAGAACAATCTCTGACTTACGTGCTGATAATAAGAAGAAATAACAATTGTGTTTACTTGAAGAAACAAAAACAAACCAGACTTTACATTTTTTTCAATATCATAAGTCGTGATCATTACTGTGTAGTTGCCAAGTGGGGACATTATTTGGTCCCAAAAGGTGTGGCTTAGGCTCTCTTAAGCCATAAATGCATTAATATCCCAATTTATCAAATTTCCCACTTGATACATATGCATTTCCTATTAAATTATAATATATAAATAGATATAAATCTTACCTTATAAACTGATTTTATAAAATGATGGGCTTAAAATTAAATTAGCATGTTATTGGAGCTTATCAAAGTCTATCCTAACTAGTGTCGTTGAATATATCGAACCACCTGCCATCGAGCTTTCTCTCTTTTTCTCATCATCGATGTGTCTAATCCTCATTATAAGCATAAGGGTATTTCGATTTGTGAAATTGAGTGAGACTTTCTGTTAAACAAAATTTAAGTAAAGTACCTGAAAGGGTGTGAGGTAAGTTTAAGATTAAATTTCTTAACTTTCATGAATGGAAAAACATACTAAAAAAATTATATTAAAGGTAGATTACCAAAACTACTTTGAATAGTTAGTAATTGTTTGAAGTTGGAAAGTGATAGACAGTGCAAATGTGAGATCAAAGTGGAAATGGAATAAGAACAAAGAAGAAAAAGACGTGAAAGAAAGTGAAGTAGTACCTGAAAGCGTGTGAGGTCAGAACCGGGGCGTACATTCTTGAATAAACTGAGCATTCGTTGCATAAGATTAGGGGCTTTATACGCGTCTGAATTAGATTCACTGTCTATCGTTAATGGCTTTGTGAGTACAATTTTCCTCTCTTTTTCCTCTTTCATCTTAACCTGCACCATTTTTCACATTCTTATTACCAAAACGCGGAAAGGGTTACAACAATATTGCCATAAACACGTGTTGTGCATCGCACGTTACCGTTCTTGAATATTCTTAATTTATGCAAAGTAAAAGCAACGGTGACCACAATGCAGTCTGGGCCTGCAAATTGCAAATACAGTCCAAATCTAAGTCTACAAAGTTTGACCCGACACCAGATGTTCTAAAATTTCGATTTTTTTTATGGAAATGTCTAAACATTGTTCTGCAAACATATCGAACTTGTTTTCAGAGGTTTCACAAAAGCAATAGAATTCTTGAGCCAATCAAAACACTCTCAACCAAAGGGTTGTTGCCAACTCGCAATTGACAGGTTCCGATGCACTTTGCCCGTGAAATAAGGAACAATAAATTAAAAAGCATCAACTCTTTTGTTTTCCTTTTCCTCATTCACATGCATGCTTGAAAAGAGAATCATTATATATACTATTGTAAAATATTCTGTCCACACAAGGAACTGTTACATTAATCTTGTAATGATAAAGATGGATTAACTTTCCAAGACAAGAAACTGAGAATCTGTGATTATCTGTGAAATTGCATGCCTCGGAATACCACTCATTCGACTCTTGAAACACTAAACCACCTTCCGAATCCGAAAAGCAGAAACATCAGAGAGATTTTCACCACTACGCAGATCATTCACTCTTGTGAAGAAGAAAGAAACTTATCATGCAGAAAGTTAAATTTTTTTAGTGGGTATGTCGGTTCTACAAGCCTTATTTAATCGGCGTAAAAAGAAGATTTTTCTAATGAAAAAAAAGAAAAACTTAGCAGAAAAGAAAACATATGAAACAAAAGAGAAACGTATATATGACAGAGAAACTTATGCTTATGAGAACACAAACTAAAGCAATAGACTAGAGACATACCATGTTTATGTTGAAGAAGAAAGACTTTGAGTGAAGAACAATGGCAAAAGGATGTGATGAGAAGTAAGGGTAGATTTGAAGATGTTAAGGAAAGTGTGAAGTGCTTTGGTTTTGGTGTTGAAATTAAGAAAAGAAATGGTGTTTATAGAGATAGCCAATAGAAGATGCAATGGATTGGGAGGTATATATATATATGTGTGTGTGTGCAAGGTTGTCTTTTTCTATTTTTATGATATAAAATGTTTGCAATATCAATTCACACATGATGCATACATTATTTGTCTTTACTTGTTTTCCTTTTGTAGGATTTGTCTTTACTTTAAATGCTTGATTTGTTTTTAATAATTATCCATCTTTTTAGTTAATTAGTTAAGTATATCCTCGTAATTATACTTAAATATGAGTAAAATGATGGTTTCCGAGAGTTTCTTAATGGGATTTATCATTGCCTTTTTAACAAAAAAAAAAACCACTAAAGATAATTTAGAAAATCAAGATTGGTATCATGTGATTTGCGTCATTTTTTCTTTCTTCTTCTTTTTTTTACATTTTTATATAGAGTGTAACAATGGAAAGTGTCATCAAATAAAATAAAAGAAAAATCTTGCAAATGATTGATCCATCATACACGGGGAAAAAAATAAAGAAAGAAAGTTTTGGAAGCATTTTATACGAAAAATATTCTAAAGTACTTTTATGAATATTTAAAACATCGAAAGTCAAAAGAATTCTACGCGTTATATTGTGATATATGAAATGAAGCTTCTAAGCTAACAATATTAAGTGGGGAAAGAACATTGACCTAAACGCATGATTGAAAATAGTTAAAGCATACGAAATTAATTACGTTCTTACAAAAAAGTTAATAAAGAAAAAAGAAAAATGAGATGCTGCTTCTAGCAATTTTTTTATTTTACTTTTATTATTAGTAAGAATAAACGAAGAGATGCGGATTTATAATCAAACAATACATCTAATTAATGTTCCGTCCATTCATAAAGTTAAACTAAAATAAATTATACTATTAATATTCATTTTGGACACGTTGAGAATTTTAATATAAGAAATTAAACGCGTCATATATATCAGTTGTAACACGTCGAAATATTTATGTACATGTTATATTAGTTGATGAAGTCTTGTTGCATTTGACAATTTTAAAGCTTTTAGTAAATTTTCATTCTATTTTAAAATATCAATTAATCAATTAAAAAGTTTCATTTTCTTTATTTTGTTATTGTCTTTTGCGATGTGTATGTTTTTTCTGGAATTTAACATTAATATGACACGAGTTTAAGATATTATGTTTAATTCAAAATTTTAAATATTTTTTTTATAAAGTATTGAACTTCTTTATATATGTTATATATGAAACGTAAATTTTCTGGAATTGAACTTCTGTTATATATGAAACGTAAATTTATACTTAAATTTGCAACAATTTCTTTTTAAAGTAAGTCTTTTTTTTCATTTATACAGTTCATGAAAAACATTTTTAATCACATGTGTTTTAATTTTTTATATCATTATAATACAACTTAGATATGATAAAACGGATCAGTTTGGTTAGTTTTGGTCCAACGTATCATTGACCTGTCAAATATAGGTTGTTTTGAGTTAATATGTTATAACAAAATGGATTAGAATTTGTGACCCATCCTAAAAGAATAATTTTTTTTTAAAATTTTTTTAATTTAATTCTCTAATTTATTAAAAAAAATTATATATATATATATATATATATATATATATATATAACCATATAATTATTTTCTAAGTTTTTAATTGACTAATTAATATTTTTAATTAAATAAATTAAAATAATTATTACAAGTTTTTTTAACATAGTTATTTTGTTAAAAAATGACTTATATTTAAAATATTATTTTTTTATCTACTAACATTTCATTTTATGATTTCTAATAATTTAATCATTTGATAAAATTAAATTTAGAAAAATATATTTTACTTTTGTTTTTTAAAATGATATTATTTAAAATATAACATGTGTTTACCGATAATAAAATATATAAAAACAACTGTGATGAATAATTTGATTTTTAAAAATTATATTTATCATTTTTATATAAAACAATAATATAAATATTCTTATTATTAAGTAATTTTCATCTTTTTAGCATGTAAAAATTAAATTATTTTTGTCTAATAAAAATTACCATTAATAATATGTACATAAAATTTCGTACAAGTTTTAAATAATTATATTTAAAATAAAATAAATTAAAATATTGTATTTAATAATTTATTTCAAAAAATTTAAATAAATACTTGTAATAAAAAAAGTTACATTATTTTGTTTACTTAATACATTTCAAATGTTTAAAAAATATATTTGTAATAAAAAAAATCATACTTTTTAATATTATAGTTTTTTATTACATTCTTTTAATTCATTGTTTATTATTTTCAACTTCAAAATGTAACAAGTTATAATTTTAGTAAGACCAAAACAAAAGGTAAAAGCTAAAAAACTAATTGTCTTAAAATATATAATTAATGTATTTATATTGTCATTGAATGAGTATAAAAACATAGGTTAATCATTCATTAACTAAATAAGTCTAGAAACACATGCTATATGAATATAAAAAAATTAGATGAGTTTAACAATACACATGAGATAATTTTGTTCATACACTAATTATATGAATATAGAAAAAAATTAGATAATTATAGAAATATATATTACTCAAGTCTATCTATTTATTAATTAAACGAGTATAACAAAAGACATTACACAAGCCATTTCGTTCATTACTTACACAAATATAACAAAATTTATTAAACACATCTTGCAATACACATTAAACTAATCTGTCAATACACTGACTAGATTAGAACAATGAAAAATATTACACAAGTCTAACAATATACATTAAACGAGTATGTTCATATATTAATTAAAAAAATATATCAAAAATATTAGAAGAATCATTTCATTCATTGATTAAACAAATATAACAAAAAACATTAAAAAAAATTATCAATGTATTGATTTAACAAGTATAACAACACATATTAAACGACTTTGTCCATACAATCAACTGACAAGTATAGTAAACAACATTAAATGAGAAATTTCACACATTGATTACACGAGTTTAGGAATACTCATTATAGAAGTTTGTCTAAACACTGATTAAACGAGTTTACCAACAACTTACATTTGAATCTACCAATAACTTACATTGATAAGATGAATTTATCAATATACATTAGACAAATCTATTTATACAAAAATTAGACAAGTATTAAAACAATCTAACCCTCTTCATATACTCATTGGACAAGTTTTGCAATACACTTTAAACAATTATAAACAAACACTAATTAAACAACTCTGTCAATATCCTAATTAAATGAGTTTATAAAAAAAATCATTAGATGAATCATTCCATAATTTAATTAGATGAGTCTAGACAAGTCTTTTCTTGCATTGATTAGACGAGTCTATAAAAAAAACTATACGAGTTTGTCCATACACTAATAAAATGAGTATAGCAAAATAAATTAGACAAGTCTTTTCATACATAGATTAGACGAGTTAGTTCACTCGCTAATTAGACGAGTCTTACAATACACAATAAATGGGTTTGAACATACATTGATTAGACGAGTTTAACAATATACATTAGACAAAGATTTTTCATACACAAATTAGACGAGTCTATTAATACACATTAGACGAGTATGTTTATTCACTCATTTGATGAGTTTTGTAATGTGCATAGTTTGTTCATACACTAATTATACGAGTTTAACAATATACATTAGACAAGTATATCCATACACTAATAAGACAAGTATTTTGCGCATGAAACAAATCATTGTTTGGATTAATTAGACGAGTCTAAGAATACATATTAGGTGAGTCTATCCATACATTGATTAAAGAAGTATTGCAACACACATTAGATGTTTTTTTCCATACACTAATTAAATAAGTTTAACAACATACATTAGAAGAGTCTATTTATACACATATTATACAAGTTTATTAATACACATTAGACAACTCTATCCATTCTCTGGTTGGACGTGTCTTGCCATACACATTAGAGGATTATGTTCATATACATTAGATGAGTATAACAATACACATTAGATAAATGTATCCATATACTCATTATATGAGTCTAACATTAAATATAAAACAAATTTGTCAATGTCCTGATTATACGAATCTATTATACCAATATGTCCATACATTAATTTGTATTTATAATGAATATACCAAACGTATTTTTGCATAGTTTATCTTTTGTATTTTTATAAAATTAACTCTTTACCTTTTTACATATATATTGATTTAAAATTTTCACATTAATTCTATTAAAAATTTAATTATAAATTTAAAAATATTATTATTTCTTTTCTCAACTTCTAAACTTCTTTTAGCATAATATATTTAAATATCTTTTAATATAATTTATTACCAACATAAAAAAAACATATACAAACAAATCAACTCGTGTATATATAGAGATATTTAAAACTAGTATCGTAAATACTATACCAATCCATTAAGTTTAAATTGTTTTTTAACACTTAAGTTTTAGTTTTAATAAGAGTATACATTTTCTTCTATATAATCTTTGAGGGAAAAGCACAAGAAGACGGTAAGACGTTCGATTGCAAGTTTTTTTATTTTTCTATTTTGAGACATTCATAAAAAATAAAATATAATAATCCTAAGACTTAGTCAAATTCACATAAAAAATAATATTATCTTTAATTTAGAATGTTAAGATAATAAATTCATGTCAAATTCACATAAAAAATAATATTATCTTTAATTTAGAATTTTAAGATAATAAATTCATGCATCTTTCTTCTCTATATGTTAGTCAGATTTTTTATTTTTATATTTGAATTTTTAAAATGTAAATAATTTGGGTGACTGGAATGAATGCCCAGTTGGTGTTTGATAAAAGTCCTCTGAAATCTTAATGGGTACGTATAGGACCACAAACGAACAGCCCAATTTGCCCATATCTTGTGCAAATTACTTTATTATATCTTGTGCAAGTAAATTGATGGTGATTCATATTTTTATATATTAATCTTATCATAAAACCTCGTGCACATAAATACTTCAACTTTACCTTATCTTCAACTCAACTTTCTCTTTC